AATATTAACGGATAACTGCTGGCAAGCATACCTTTCACATTTTGGGTAAAAGGGAAAATAATATTCACTTCTTCTATGAAAATAGGTCCACAGCCTTTAAAAGCTTCACTCCAAATTCCTTCCGGGTCAACACGGCGTATACGTTACGTCAGCGGTTATTTGATTTGCATTACCGCAAATTAAGTTCATTCATGTGATTTAATATTGCGCGGTGTAAGCAGGAAATTTTAGTTCGATTATTCAATTTTTATGAAAAGAATAAGAATTCAAATGGTTCAATTTGTTTAAGAAAAAAACTTTGGTAACGTAAAATATTATTTTAGTATTTTTAGTTTTTGTTTTTACCAATAGTAGTTATTGTAAGGAATAATAATTAAAAAACAGCATTAAAATTCTTAGTTGAAATACCTTTGCGCAATAAACTGACTACTATCATCATGCAATCAAATTTACAAACTATTTACTTAATTATAAGTTGCTCGTACTTTCATACATAATTTGCATACCAGTTAAACGATTCCTAACACCCAACGCTGTGAGCTTACTTTGCGCACACTTTCAGTTTATATAAAAACTTTGTTAATAGTTGCTATATCACTACTTAAATTCAAATAACTACACTTCGGTATGAACTCCATTACAATAATAAATTCGGGTAAGCAAATTAAAACCGTGCGACGCACAAAAATCAGCATAAAATGAGCAACGAAACGGCTAAGAAATTGTATAGGAAAATGAGTATGTTTCAAAAAGGAAAATGTGTTCGCAAGAAAATATTAACAGTATGTACACGCATAAGTACCTATGTATATACATAAGTACATTAAACTGCCTCACTTCTTATAAGATGACAACTCGCTTCTGATCCCCTGAGAAAATTATCTTTAACTTTATTGACCCCTTGAAAGTTGCCAATATAGTTGCATTTTTTTACAAAAAAATTGTATCGCAAAACTTTTTTCTGCATAAAAATGGTCAGAGGAAAATAAAAATCTTTGCACAAGTTTTCTTACAATAATTCTTTGAACAAGGTTCAAAATAACTAAAGTGTTGATGGAAGTTAACATAAATAGTTTTGTAACGCAAGTTTTATGAAAGTATGAATAGTTAAACCATTTCTTCAATGTACCGGTGAGTGGGAGAGTATTCTTCCTCTCTTGTAACTTTTAGCTCATTCAGAACCCGAAAATTCATATTTCTGTTTTCTAAAGGCCATTTATAGAAAAATAAAACTCGAAACATACTTTAAATAGTAGATTGAGCTAAAAAGAAAAAGTGAAATTGTGTCTGAGAAGACCTATTGTGTACCCAAAGCAAGTTCATTACCCGGACAGCCCAAGAAACTAGCCGCTTTCCTAATAAATGCTAATACCTGGGTCGACGAATTTAAAATAATAAGGGGTTCCGACATATCCAAATTCATTTACATATTTCAGTCTAAGGCTGGCCGACTCCATTTTATCTCCGAAGTCAAGCCAAGCCGGTGGTGAGGGCGCAGATACTTATGACTATTTAGGTACTCTGTAAGTAACCTAACTTTGGCTCTATTTAAAGAATTTATGATGCCCTTTAATAAATTAAAAAAAAAAAAAATTAAAAAAAGCAAAATAACATTAAATTAAAATAAAGCAGAAATAAGTAAAAATATTAAAAAACGTATGTTTTTCTTTTCAAAACAATAAAATCTAAAAATTAAACAAGAAAAAATAAATAAATAAATCAAAAAGAAAATGGAACTTAAAAATTAGATAAAAAGAAAAGATATACTTTTATTAAAAAAAAAAGTTTAGAAATTAAAAGAAAATAAAATTTAAAAAAAACAAAAAAATTATTTGAAGACCCTAAAATGTAAATGAAGTAAAATGGATTTATTTTTGTTTCTAAAACACTAAAATATAAGAATTAAAATAAATGAAATTAAAAAGAAAAAACAAATTAAATTAAAAAAGATGAAATAAATAGAATAAGTTTCTAAAGTTTAAATTAAATAAGAAAAAAATACTTTTCTTTTTAAAAAAAAATATCTAATTCTAAAAATTAAATCAAAAAAAGAAAATTTTGTTTGAAAAAGAAAAAAATTATAATAATTTAAAGAAACTTGCAAAATTAACATCTAGAAATTAAAGAGAATTAATTTAGGAAAAAAAGCATAAAATAAGTTTCTAAAAATTAAATGATATTAAATTGAAAAAGTAAAAGAAAATTTGAAAATGCGTAAATTAGAAAAAAAAAGTAAAAAATCCGCTAACCGAATCTCTCGCTTAGTGCTTAGCTTACTGGGCCATTGCGACCGTTGCAGCGGCGCGAGCTAAATGATAAACAGTGTTTTCTCACAAAATAGCTTTTCACCACGAAAGATGGGTGAGAGGGAGCGTGTCTTCTGAGGCTTTTTTGCTAGAGTAATAAAAAAAATTGTTCGAACTATCTTGCCATCTCTCTTTCATTTGTCTTACGAAAGACTTTACTATCTTAGCTAGAATGAGGTTCCCTAACGCGTTAAAGTCTATATTATTGTGTTATTCAGGGAAATTCCTATTCATAAACATATTTTTGTGAATTTTTCGATTTACTTAGGGTAGCAGCACCTTCTTCGTGAGGCATCATAATGTAGATACATATATGTATAAATATATGTAAACACGTAGACGAGTGTATAAGTAGGTGAAAATTAATGCAATATTGTCATTTGAAGAGGTTTGCGCTAAGCTTTCAGATTTGTTAAACCCGAACTGGTTGTAGCACGACGAGGTGTATGTATTGTGTAGTAGAAAGGGGAAGTTGCCATTGGTAATGCTGCTTACATTGTGGCTCATACAAATAAGTATGTATGTAGGTATAAGAAATTTAGATCCAGTTGTTGCCGTTATTACGGCTCATCATGGCTGATGCTTATGGTTTTAATGTTCGCTGTTTGTTACACAAAATTAATAACTGAGATGATTTATTTGCATGCTTAAAATTGCGTATATACATACTTTTTCCTGAAAGATGGCCGAACAAATTCGAGTTGATGAGTGTTTAAGTACCCTACGGTTGAATTTTAAGAGTTCCTTGAATTATTGAGCAATGTTACCGCGCCAGTGCCTCGTTTCTATTAGCATTTAAAGCAGGGATGTCCGTGAAGAACTCGCTGACGAGCTGGAGTTGTCAAACAGTTTAAAGATATTTTCTATAAAATTCAGATAATTGAAGCTATGGCACAGGCATCTCAGATTTAAAGTGTTTGGCGGGAAATAAGCATTCAAAACTAATTTAAACTATTTAGTTGGAAAGTATTGAACGTATTTTGTAGGATATTTGTCTCTTCTAAGATCTAGCCACTCAGCTGAGTTTGTCTACATAGACAACGTCAACGCTCAAAGAGTTTCACACGATGTTGGTAGGGCCTTTTTTATTTTTCGTTATTTTGCCCAAATATGGCTCCAGCAAAAAAAAAACCTAGGTCTGATACAACCGCTTTCAGGATGGACAATCTCTATGAACAATTAAAGAGTACAGTCTTTGGTTTAGGTCTTCTGCTGTCAATTCCTTTTGGAATAACGCGTCTTCAAGCCTTCACCCACTTTTCTCTAATAAATAATGTGTATGCAGAAAGTGTATAGTACTCAACTCAGCACTGGGATAGATGATTTTTTGGAAGACTTTAGCAACTGCAACAGCTGGTGTTTCTTACTTCTACGTCTATATGTTTTTCAGCTAGATGAAGATAGACAAATGTTATTGAAGATTACGTTGAAAAGTCGCGAATTTTAAGAGAAAATATATGTATAATCTATTTATGGATAACTTGGAGACCTGTTGTGACAATATATAGAACCAATTGAAGACTACGTCCAACCACTGTTGAAAATCCGAATGACAAACATGTAAATTTCTACTCAATAAAAAATTCATTTAGATTGCCACTGAAAGATGGAGAATGGAGGATGGAGAAAAATCTCTGGCTGCCATAGACGCCCAACGTACCAAGTCTCTACTTAATCCAAAGAGGCAGGACATTCGCATAGTGACTGGAGTTCTCACCGTACACTGTCTGATTAGATTACATGTAGCTAGAATGGACACACCCTGGAATGACTACTGCAAATGCTGCATGGATGTAGACGAAGAAGAAACCATCCAAAATCTTCTCTGCCATTGCTTGGTTCTGTCAAAGCGGAGAGCAAAAGCTCTTGGCAGTAATTTATTCAACAATATCGACGACGTCAAAGTGATGAACATTAGAAACCTATGCAGTTTTTTGCTAAGCATAACATGGTTCACAGGCGAACGGGTATAAATGAAAACCTCATGCGGTATCACAATGGAACCTGAGTCCACTCAGGACTGCCGCCCAAACTAATCTAACCTGTATTGAGAACTGGAGTGTAACATTGTGAACTTTTGTTGAAGAAATTGGCCGATGGAATGATTTTACAGGGTCAGATGCCACCTTATACCTCAATCTTAATGTAAAAGGTGTGAATATTGAGTAAAAATGCTACACCGCACGTAGAGATAAAAAGTAAAATATGCCATTAAGAAAAAATATATGGAAAAATTACTGCAGGTGTTCCTCTTCTGTGTGACAATGTTCCTATTCTGAAGAACCTTGATGTAGACCGCCACATTTATACCGGAGTGGATTCTTAGCATTAAACTATCCTTTCTACGGACAAAGTTAAACTAATATTCTGAATATTGTTGATTTCCAAAAATGCGAAAAAAATAACTTCAAGTCAAAAATTTACTGATGATAAGTCGACGGACAAGCGAGTATTTTTATGGCAAAATAAATATTGCAAAACATCTGAGGGAAATATTAAAAGGGAACATATGGAAAAGAAAAGTTTCACCTCTATGTCTTCATTCCGTGAACATTTTAGTAATTTTTCTTATATTTTCTTTAAAACTGTAATAAAATCAGAAAATTATAGAAGCTCTTACAAAAGAATTATTTTCACTTTACTAAAATTCGGTAATTTTATTCATGTATCCGTGCATTTTTAGCATATTTTCACAAACATACGTGCCGTTTAAAGTTCGCATGCTGTCAGTCTCTCGTTAAGCAGTTAACTTTATTTACATTGTTCTTTAGAGAATAACTCAATTTGCCAGTTTCTTTTACTACATTTAACCGGAAGTTGTCGCTGATGGCAAAACAATGTCATATTCTTTTCAAGTTTTTTTTAACATTTACTTTAACTTAATTAAAATTTTGTATTCCTTTTTTCTCTATAAGGACATGGCTGTTATTAGTTTATGCCGCCAGTTATAGTTGTTTTTGTTATAGTGTACTCTGGGTTTGCCCGTAATTTTATGCATTTGCCGCCTGAGAGCTCAGATGCATTTCACAACGCAATCGTTTTGCATTTTTATTAAAGTTATATCACCTCGCTGCTGTTGTTGTCTTTGCTTTTGACTTTCGTTTTGCTTTTCATTACATTTGTTTTCATTTATTTGCAAGTCTTAATTAGCTCTAGCTCTGCATTTGTACTCAGACTCGTCGCATGCTGAGACTCTTATCCAATTCAATCAATGTACCTACTAGTATTTCCTATCCCTTCGCTGTGTTCTCTCCAATTGGTTGCTTTTTTTTTTTGTTTCCGACTTTTGTTACGCTGGCATTTAATTGAAACCGTGACTTTGCCGCAGGCTTTGCTTGCACTGCAATTAATCCGCAACGAAGCTGATGCTCTGCACCGCCAAACAGATCGGCTCATCCTTTTTGCGCATTAACGTGACTTTCGCGCGTGTCCTGCTGGCCCGCCTCGTAAGGCAACTTATTGGTCGCGCCGCTTTTGCTTTGTTGTTATACGATTTGCAATTATGTCCGCTTCCATTGCCGCTCCTCAGCCGCTCTACACGTCCGCACGTCATTTGATGTCCAGATTTTACACTGTTTTTTGAATCGTTGGTCTTCATTAATCGCTGCCACGCCGCGTTAAGCCCTGCATGTCGCTTCAACGCCACCACTTCCTTCTGTTGCATGTCACGTTTTCCAGCTTCACCAGGTCTATACAAAAATAATATCTGCACGATCTGATTTCGTCGTGGGCGGTTGTCTTTGGAAGGCGTAGACATTAACAAGTAATTGTGCCATGAAAATCAGGCAAAATAAAACGATTAAAAGAATGTAGAGCAAGATATCGCGCACCATGCCGACGCGTCGACCCAATTCGCTACTCGCAGTGCGTGCGTCAGTTAGTGAAGCGGAAGTGTAAGCGCGTTCTGTGTCGCGTGTGTTTATATCATCCCACCTGCTTGAGGTAAACTTCTGCAAAATCACTTTTCTAAGCGGTGAGAAATCGAGAAAATCCAAGCGCCCCTTTTTATGTGGAGCAAAGCGTTGCTGCCTTTTCGAGTGGCAAATACGTAACGGATAATCGCGCTGCTGCGAAATTGTGGTTGTCTCCGCCGCCGGCGCCGCTACAATTGCATAAATCTCTCTCTCGCTTTCACTCCAGTCGATTGCTAGTGGCAACACTTGCTATCGTTATTTCCGCTGCAGCCGCCGCCGCCGCCGCCGTCGCTTTGGAATTAGTTCAACACTTCCTGCGTCGCCTCAGCGCAAGACGTTGCTAACCTCGCACACTTGCTATTGCAGTTTGTCGCTTTATATGAACTTATTGGAACAGGCAAAATGTATAAATCGGGTCGTCTTGCCTTTAAGTGTGCCATCTTATGTGGTTGTTGCTTTCGAGTGCCACAATTTCAGTCACTTCAATTGCTATTTAACCTAACTCAACATCGACTGCTCAGTTGGCGGCTTCCGCCTGTCGCAATCGCTTACTCAGTGGAATTTTCCTTAGTCCTAGAAACTTTTGTCTCAGCTGGCGACAGCAACGTCAACTTCGTCTCTGCCACTTCTATGGTTTGAGTAAGGGTGTTTGCTCCATTTTTTGTTTGTTTTCTACCCACTAAGCACTTTCGCTACTGCCAATCCAAGGCGATGTGGTTAATGTGGTTGAGCTGCAAGTAGAAAGCACAAAAAGGATTTCATGAAACATAAGTATTTTTTTCCAAGCAAACAAATGGGAAAAATTTCAATTGCAATAGTATAAAAATGCTGAAAAAAAATGTTAGAGTTCGTAAGAAGGTAGTAAAAATGGTAACCTACAAAAGCGTCATTAAGGTAAACACCAACTGTGCGTGCATATCAAGAAACATGTCAACAAACATGTAGCAGCTAAAGAAAAATTTAAATAAAAGTAAAATTACAATGTCCCTACGTTGTGCTGAATGGTTTTGCAAATGTATGCGCGTTGTTATTGTGTATGCACCAACAAAAGCAATGTTTTAAAATTGTTGAATTTACATGCAACTATGCTTGCAATATGCACAGCTATTGTAAGTACTGCTCCCGAACAAAGCGGCAGCAATATGCACTTCAAGGCACTTCATGTGGCAGCGAAACAACAGAAGCCGGTAACTTGTGTGAACACGCTTAGTTATTTATGTAGGTATGTACATAAGTACAGTCACAGAGATATATATACATACACACGTACTTAGGGCGATCCAAAAAAGCGTGCGAAAAACTGAATTCGGAATTTTTATGCCTTCACCCCCTAGGATTGTTCTATACCAAACACAATGTACCCATATTTTTTATTTCGAAATCAAAAAATATTTAGAGGTCGCTCAAAGCGCTCAAAGTTTTCCATGTATTTTATATGGCAAAAACCACTTTTCGTTGAAAGGGTATAGAATTTTTGAAAATAATTTTTTTTCGATTACAAAAGCCCTTTTCTCTTCAGGAAAATCCCAGTAATAATACCCAATTGTTTATTTAACCAATACATCATAATAAATATATTTTATAGGTTCTTTTAAACCCCACACAAAGAAATGGAGTTGCTGTTGTTTTTTCCCATATAAATACATGGAAAACTTTGAGCGCTATAAGCGACTTCTAAATACATTTTAATTTCAAAATAAAAAATTGGTCATATTTTTTTCAATATGGACCAATCCTAGGTGGTAAAAGCATTAAAATTCCGACTTTACTTTTTTTTTTTTACCACCCTAATGTGCATACGTAAATACACTTCTTTCATTTGCAACATGAAGTGGTGTGGCATGAGTGCTGTTGCAAGCTACACCCGTATTACATATGTATGTATGTAGAACCTTAGCAACATGTAAATTTGAATTCACATAGAAATACAGTGGCGACCATTAAAGTGGAGTGAGCTGAGTTTTTGTCATTAAAAAAAAAATAACTTTCTCGCAAGCATCCAAATCCTTCAAATCTTTGTTTAACATTGCCCAAGTGTTTGCTCCTAAAAAAGGCATGATGACAGATTTGTAGAGCGTAATTTTGGTCCTTTGGAAATGAGCTCTGCTTTTCAGCTGCCTGCTAATTCCATAGAAGCAACTGCAGGCAACAAATGTTGTTCGCTCGAACTCGACGCTGGCATTATAGTTGGTATTTATAGCGGATTCTAGTTAGACTTGAGCATACATTATCTACTTTGCCATCATAGTTACCAGCCGAACAATAGCACAGCCAAATATAGTCTTTGGAAAAAAATATAAGCAGTTGGCGTAGGTCTGAAAAATATCCGCACACAACGCCTATGGATATAAGTCAAGAAAATAACGAAAAATGGGCGTGATAACTTTATTTTAAAGCTACCTCATACCCTCAAAAGTTGTTAAAAATTTCATAAAAAGTGCACCGAAGAATACATGACTCCGATAAAAACCGTAGATTGGCACAGCTGGAAGTGTCAATTACAGTTTTACACCCAAACTCATCAAAAATGGAGAAAACTTTAACTGCTTTATACATTGAAAATTTAAATTTATTTAAATCTTTATGAATAAGGCCATCCCTGCAAACCAAAGTTCCCGAAATCTTAACGAAATCTTTAGGAGTATCTGATTTCTGTAACGATTTTTTTCCGAACCTTCAAAGAAAATTATATGAAGTGGTTGACACGAACTCGTAAAAATATTTCTGTACGAAAAATAAAGAAAATTCTGAAAAAAGTCTGCAAGAAATTCTTCACATAACAGCATTTTTTTCATTTCTTTACCGATTTGCTTCCGAAATTTCGTAAAAGAATGGAAGTGTGCGTAATTTATTTCATTTTAGAAAATTCGGCAAAAAATCGGATGGGATCTTTCCGAATTCTTTAAAAATTCTTTACGATTCAGAATGCTCTGATAAAATGGTTTGCAGGGATTAGTCTTAAGAGTAACAGAAAATGTTTAAATATACCCTGCAAACCATTTTTCAGAGTATTCTGAATCGTAAAGAAATTTTAACGAATTCGGAAAGATCCCATCCGATTTTTTTCCGGTGAAGAATTGAAAATAATATTGCTATGTGAAGAATTTCTTGCAGACCTTTTTCAGAATTTTCTTTATTTTTCGTACAGAAATTTCTTTACGAGTTCGTGTTAACCACTTCATATAATTTTCTTTGAAGATTCGGAAAAAAATCGTTACAGAAATCAGATACTCCTAAAGATTTCGTTAAGATTTCGGGAACTTTGGTTTGCAGGGTATGTATGTGTATTAGGGCGTGTCAATTTGTATGGGAGATTTTTTCGACTGTGCGCGTATAGCACAGGACCGTACGCGTAAACTTAAGCAAATTTTTAGAAAAAACCAAAGGTCTTGAAGTATGCTAATTGCGAAAATAGGTTTCTTATCATATTGCTGTAGTGTGGTAAATAAGTGCTTGAATTTTGTATAAAATCATTCTATAAAGGGTTTTTGGAATTAGGAGTCCTTTTCTACACAAATTTTTTTTTTTTTCTAAGTTCTACCAGAGGGTGGAACAGTGAAACTTTTCACATTTTCTTCGAGACCTATAGTGTTAGTGTTTGGTCGAGCTTTTTTCAGATCTTTTGCGAGCGCCTTGATGTCCTCACACAAAGGGGAGGTACCCAGTTAGTGAAGCTTTCAAATTGTTGTAGCTACATATATCGTCGCTTAAAGTACAAAACCGCGTATCGTCATTCTGCAAAGCCGCGTAATTCACATTTGCAGCCAAAAATTGGATTTGCTCACACAAGCTCTGGTCTCAATCCTTATCCCTTTGTCCTGGAGTATACTAGCCAAAAATCCGATTGCTTTATAAAACAGAGAACCATTTTGAAATATGAGTGTTTTAATCTCTAGAAAATAATTTATGCAACTTGATACGCGGTTTTGTACTTCAAACGACGATATGAATGTGTTCTCGGAAGCATTTTGGAGATTCATGACGCTCCAGTAAACAGGATATCAAAATATTCAAACAAAATCGAATTTTACAATTAAACTTTCGAATAAAATTTGTGTGGTATCTTTGCAGCCGAATTCGTGATAAAAGCTACTCTTCACTAGGTTCAGTGTAAACACCAGCAGTTTCGCTTTGTTCCACCTTGCTTTGCTTGTAATTAAAATAGAACATCAGAAGGCCAATAAAAAAGTGAACCGTGACGTGTGCGGCCGTGGTGTTTATAAGCCTCTCTCCGTACTATCAAAAGTGGCTTTTGAATCGACAAAAAGGTGGTGTGCATCGATTAGCTTTTCTAAGCACTTTTCCAGGATTTTATGCACCATGAAAATTTGGTAAATGATGGATTTACCAAGACTGAAACTGACTCCTATATACAGCTAATACTTGCGCACCACTGTTCGTCGCCGGCTTTTAACAGTTCAGGCGAAATTCCGACGACATATTTCTGTCTTCCCGACGTCTGGTGTCCGCAGTAACTAAGCTGTTAGAAACGTATTCCTCTACTCGGCAAGACCCAACTTGGAGTCACTGTCTGTGTAGCCAACAAAGAAGTTGTTTCTAAAAGCGGTCGTCCCACGGCAAGCAATAGCAAATTTCGGAGTATACTTCTGCCATGAGAGATACCCTACAAGGAGCGCTCTCTCAACCTTTATTTTGGCCCTCGTCATAAACAACATCTTGGAATATCTGCATACTCTGTACAGGACTCATTAAGTTTAGTCACACCGACTTAGTATTCCGCTAAATTAGGTAAACCACTAAAATGGCCGCCTACAATTTATATGCAGTTTATTGGGCAATCATAAATCTAGCAGAAGAAAAATACAAAATAAATAAAAAAAGAAAGTCAAAATTCAATTTCTCCACACACCACTGTACACATTTACATACACATATACATAATGGATGCCAAATGATATGCAACCACACTGCATGCAGCGGTTAGTAGAGTTTCGCAAAGCAAAAGCGGCAAGTGGCAAGAGCAAACGTCTGTAGGAAATTGGAATGTGAAATGAGGAAATGAGAAACGTAAGACTAAATTTCTTAGTAAATATTTGTTAAAATACGAGTACAAACAAACGACTGATGTCACAACTCCCACAAAAGTATAAATTTTAGCTGTGTATGACAAGCTGATATCGTTGATGCAATAGTATAGTTACAGCCAACGCCTTTGCATTATCATCATTTGTGTCAACGGCAGAAGTACCGTCATACTCGTAAGCATATATGTATATGTATATGGTTTTATGACTCAAAAGTGTAGGTGGTGTAGGCCAAATGAGCACATTTCTAAATTTAGAGCAAACTTGTTTCAGTAAGTGGGTGCAGTGGGTAGATATTTAGTTAGATTGTGGAGTCTGCATTGCCACAAGGACTGTCAATAAGCCGGTGCTGTTTACCAACCTGCTACCTGTAGTACCTAACAGAGCACGTAGTTAGTCTGTGTTTAGGCATGGCCAGGCATGACCATAAGTATGACTATCAGTGCTACTGTGCGTATGTATGTATATAAAGATGCATTCGTTTGGAAAAGAATTTCATAGAATTTCAACTTTTTATACGTTGCTTTTTTATTGATTTTAAATGCAGTTGAATCCACCATATTAAGTGTCCTGCATTTATTTCTTACCAAGTTACGAAGATTTTTTCTCCGATTTCTTATTCCTTCTTTCTCTTCAAATGATTTCAATTGCATATTCGAAGACACATACGCACGCAGATACTTAAT